AGCCATGGAGGGCTAGAGCTGAGAGTGAAGCAGCCAGCTGATATGAAGTGAGGGGGGATGCACAAGCATGCCCAAACTTGTAGGCAGTACCCATGTGACCTAGCCTCGATGGCTTGATAATCAGAACTCGACTAGAAGGACAATAAAAAAAAAATTTAACAGATAGAGAAGGAGTCTTCACATCAAGTATCAATGCTATCCCCTCTGTACACAGGGTAGATAGGAATGGGCAATTCAGACATTGGCTACATAAAATGAGAGGGTGATAAAAGCACGAAGTGACTGGCTTACAAGGTTTCAAGAGGGAGTTTAAGAGTTTGGGGGTGGTGGGAGAAGAAAGAGTCCCCACTGAATAGTTTTCATTTTGTCTAGATGGGTCTGGTAAAAAGAGATGGGGATAAGATTCTTAGGATTCAATAGGGAGTAATTGTTATTATGACTGATTGCTATTGTCACAATTGTAAATGTAGAAGATCTGTAACAAAAACGGGGGAGTAGTTAATTTTAACAGTCCAGAAACAGAGGACCCTAGAACCATCGAGGAAGAAGAGCACAAGCGGAATGTGAGACCTTATCCAGAGAAGCAGCAATTCCAAAGATGGAGACATGGAGAGAGGGAGCAGCTGAGGACTCTAGATTCATGGGAAGAGAGGACTAAGAGATGGTGGCCAGGAGGCAGACTTGCAGAATGTGCCATTTGAAGGTGTAAATTATTACATATGCCCAATCATTTAAAAAAAAAAAGACTGGAGGAAAACTCATTAACAAACTTTGGTCTGCTTATGAAACAACCTTGTTTGCTGATAGGGAAGAGGACTTAAAATACTTACTAATACCGACAAAAGACTACCATCTTCAGTATGTGTACCTCAATGTAAAGAAAATGAAAATCCTTAAAACTCGACCAATAAATAACATCAGAGAATGAGCCTTTAGAAGTCAGGATGATGAAGTGTGCGTGGTCTCTCATTCTTTGGGCATGCTGTCAGGAGGGATCAGTCCCTGTAGAAGTACATCATGCTTAGTAAAGTGAAGAGTCAAAGAAAAAGAGGAAGACCCCCTAACAAGAGACTGACAGTGGCAACAACAATGGACTCAAACATAGTAACAATTGTGAGGATGGTACAGGATGGAGCAGTGTTTCATTCTGTTGTGCATAGGATTGCTATGAGCCAGAACCCACTCAACAGTACCTAATACCAACAACTCCTATAATAACTGCCCCCCCAAAGGAGTAAATAAAATAGAAATAATATTGTTCCTGAAAAGGAAATCAACGGAAAACATTAGCAACTCACTGTTAGGTTGTCTCTAAGCAACTGCATGATGAGGGTGCTGTCTTTGTACGAGTCTTCATTCAGTGTATCAAGTTCTGCGATGGCCTCGTCAAAAGCCTGATAAATATCAATACACATGGTGAAAATACTGCCATCTAGAAAAAAGTGGTCAATTTACAAACATCACAATCATTGTAAGACTGAACATAATCATTCCCTGTTAAGAACTTATGAAGTATAATCTAAAACATTAAAACTATACATAGTAAGCAGTAAACAAACATTTCTTGGTTCTTTCATAGGACATATTAACAGCAACTATGCTTAACAGTAAGATCTACTATTTACTCACAAAATACCTCTTTTATTCTTCCTTTTTGAAATACTTATCCTATGGATTAAACATGGCAGAATTAATTTTCAATCCTTTTAACTTTCCTCTTAAAGTTAGTCATAGTTTTTGATTACTCTGGTCAATACTTGTTTTAGAGAGATATATGGCTTATAACCATTTTGGTGAGATTAAAAGGTTGAAGAGAGGGGTGAGGTAGGTCATCATCAGGGCATGAAATAAGGATGAGATACTTAGTTAATTACAGTAAAATATCATCCCTGGATATCCAATTATAAAATACACAAAAATCAACAGATTTGCTATCTCAAATAATCTTCTATTTCCTGAATCCACAGCTTACCGTTTTAGCCAGCGTACAGGCAAGCTCTGGGTTATTAAGAATCTCATAGTAAAATACAGAAAAGTTAAGAGCCAGCCCCAGGCGAATTGGATGTGTAGGTTGCATCTCCTTCTTGCTTATATCAAAAGCCTCTTGGTAAGCTCCTTGGGAATTATCTATCGTTTCTGTGAAAGGAAAATAACAAGAAAAGCATGATACTGCAAATACCCATCCAGTATACAGAACATTGGGAGTTTTGGTCTGGCGCTGTAGGATAAGCACTGGACTTCCTAGCTGAAAGGTTGGTGGTTCAAACCCACCAGCTGTTCCTTCAATACCCTACACCAGTGTTGCTATGAGTCAGAACTCAAAAGTACTTAACACATACAGCACATTAACATTTCTAATACATGGTATTAGGACTTGATAGAACTAGATTTTTATAACTCTCTTTTAAAACCATTAGTGGTGGTGATTATGTGCCATGTGAGTCGGTTCCGACTCATAGCGATCCTGTACAGGGTTTCCGAGCTATAAATCTTTACAGGAACCATTAGTAGCAAACCAAAATTATTATCTTATATTAGGTAGGCATTTAAAAACCAGTTTATAATTTTGCTTGCTTAAAGTCAGCTAAATAAAAAACATGAGAGTACATATTACATATTTCCTCTCTGGGGATATAACCATTCTTTCTGTCACATGTTACTTTTAAATACTTGAAACCAAAGCAATTAAAAATAATTTAACTGGAATACCCTTCCCCAAAAATAATGAACTTATAATAAAAATCATTACTACCAAAATTTTTATTTTTGTAAAAACACCCTACAGTAAACCTTGGTACCCAAATGTATTATGAGAAAGACAATAAAAACGTGCCAATCTACATTGCACAAAATCAGTTCTGACCAGAGTTTGATTACTGACCTAAATAAAAATGTCACTCTACTTAAAAGACAAACACATCTGTCAGTTTATTATATTGTGGTGACTTGAGTGTTGCTCTGATTCTGAAAGCTTCTGCTACCAGTATTTAACATATGAGCAGTATCATCCACGGTGGATAGGTTTCATAGGAGCCTCCAGAAAGAAAGTGAAGGGCCTAACAATCTACTTCTTAAAAAAAAGTGGCAAGTGAAATCCTTATGAAAACCAGCAGAACATTGTCTGATATAGTGCTGGAAGGTAAGTCCCTTAGGTTGGAAGGCACTCAAACTATAACTGGAGAAGGGTTGCTTCCTCAAAATAGAAATGATCTTAATAACATACATTAAGTAAAGCTTGTGGGGCCTTCACTTGGCATGACTCAACACGAGAAGCAACAGGTGTAAACATCCATTAATAACTGGAATGTATAATGTATCAAGTATGAATCTAGGAATATCGGAAGTTGTCAAAACTGCAATGAAATCCTTTCAGATCAATATACTTGGCATTAGTGAGTTGAAATGCACTGGTATTGACTATATCAAATCAGAAAATCATAGCGTTTACTATGCTGGGAAAGACAAATTAAAGAGGTATGGTGTTA